TTAGTCATCAAAAAACTTTCAAGAAACAGAATCCAGGACCAGATGGCTTCACAGGACAATTCTAAGAGATATGTTAAGAAGAGTTAATACCTATCCTTCTCAAGCTATTCCAAAAAATTGAAGATGAAAGAAAGCTTCCAAATTTATTTTTTGAGGTATCACCCTGATACCAAAACCAAACAAAGACACTACAAAAAAAGAAAATTACAGACTAATATCCTGATAAGCACAGATGAAAAAGTCCTCAAAATATTAGCAAACAAAATTCAAAATTATATGAAAAAATACATGCACCATGACCAAGCAGGATTAATTCCAGGACTGCAAATATAGCTCAATGCCCTCAAATCAATCAATGTGGTACACCACATTAACAAAAGGGATAAAAACCCTACAATCATGTCAATAGAAGCTGAAAAATCATTTGAAAAAATTCAAAAAATATTTAAGATAAAAACTGTCAATAAAGTGCATATAGAGGAATGTGCCTCAATGTAATAAAGGTCCTATATGACAAACCCACAGATAACATCATACTAAATGCTGAAAAGCTAAAAGTGTTTCCTGTAAGATCAGGAACAAGAAAAGGATGTCCACTTTCACCAGTTTTATTCAACATAGTTCTAGAAGTCCTAGCCATGGCAATCAGACAACACAAAGAGATAAAAGGTAAGGAAGAAGTAAAACTCTGACTATTTAGAGCTCACATGATACTCCATAGAGAAAATTTAAAGACTATCAAAAAACTAATAAAACAAATGAATTCAGTAAAGTTTCAGGATACAAAATCAAAATATAGAACTCTGTTGTGTTTTTATACATAAATAATGAAATAGCAGAAAGATAAACTAAGAAAATAGCTCTATTTGCAACTGCATCAAAAAAAAAATCTGTAGGAAGAAATCTAACCAAGGAGGTAAAAGACCTGTACTTTCAGAAGTATAAGATATTGATGAAAAAAATTGAAGGGGACACAAATAAATGGAAAGATATTCCATGCTCATGACAGGAAGAGTTAATATTGTTAAAATGGACATATTGCCCAAAGCAATCTACAGATTCAATGCAACTCTACCAAAATACCAATAGCATTTTTCACAGAACTGGAGTTAATCCTAAAATTCATATGGATCCACAGAAGACCCCCAAATAGTCAAAGCAATCTTGAGAAGAGAACAAAGCTGGAGGTATCATGGTCCCTTGTTTCAAACAATAGTATCAAGCTACTGTAATCAAAACAGGATGGTACTGGCACAAAAATAGACATATAGATCAATGAAAGAGAATAGAGACCCTGGAAATAAACCCACACATATATGGTCAATTAATAGAGGAGGCAAGTATATACAATGGGGAAAAACAACATCTTCAATAAATGGTGCTGGGAAAACTGGAGAGTGACATGCAAAAGAATGACACTGCACACTGCCTTATACCATGCACAAAATAAACTCAATATGGAGTAAAGACCTAAATAAAGGACATATAAGACTAGAAAACATACACTACTAGAAGAAAACATAGGCAGTCAACTCTTGAACATCAGCCTTAGCAACTTACTGCTAAATATGTGTCCCCAGATAAAAGAAACAGAAGCAAAAGTAAACAAGTGGGACTATTTCAGACTAAAAAGCTTCTGCGTGGAGAGGAAAACCATTAACAAAACTAAAAGGCAACCTACTGAATGGGAGAAGATATTTGTAAATGATAGATCCGGTAAGCAGCTAATATTCAAACTATATAAAGAACTCATAAAACTTAACACCAAAAATATAAGTAATCCGATTAAAAATGGGCAGAGAACCTGAAGAGACATTTTTCCAAAGAAGACATACAGAAGGCAACAAACACATGAAAAGATGCTCCACATCACTAATCATCAGGGAAATGTAAATCAAGCCATATAGAGATATCATCTCACACTAGGCAGAATGGCTAGTATCAGAGACAAGACATAACAAGTGTTGATGACAATGCAGAGGAAAAGGAACCCTCATACACTGTCAGTGGGACTGTAAATTGGTGCAGCCACTATGGAAAAAACTCTAAGTAGAAATACTCTATGACCTAGTAATTCCACTTCTGGTAGTTTATCAGAAAAAAAACAAAATCACCAATTCAAAAAGATATATGCACCCCTATGTTTACTGCAGCATTGTTTACTATATCCAAGATATGGAAGCAAACTAATTGCCCATCAATAGATGAACAGATAAAGATGTGATACATACACTCAATGGAATATTACTCAGTCAGAAAAAGAAGGAAATCTTGCCATTCACGACAACATGAATGGACCTAGAGGGTGTTATGCTAAGTGAAATAGTCAGAGAAAGGCAAACACCATATGATTTCACTTATGTGTGCAACCTAAGAAACAAATGAACAAACAAAACAGAAATAGACTCATAACACAAAGGAGAAACTGGTGTTGTCACAGGGTAGGGGATTGGGGGATGGGCAAAACAGGTGAAGGGGATAAGGAGGTACAAACTTCCAGTTTTAAACTAACTTAATCATGGGGCTGAAAATACAGCATAGGGCATACAGTCAATATATTATGTATCTTTTTATGATGACAGGTGGTAACTACACTTATTGTTGTAAGCATTAACATATATAACTGTCGAACCATTATGGTGTACACCTGAAATCACAGTACAGTATAAATGTATATCAACTTTACATCAATAAAATTTTTTTTCACCTTACTTGGTCATGCCCAGGATATATATGCAAACTAGTTTGTGACAAAGATCAGCTTGTCAGCAGATGGAGGCTGCCACTACTGCAATCTCCATGTCAAAAAGTTTAAATAAAGCATTCTTATTAGAAAAGATGCACCACTGGAATTGTCTAAAGAACAAATCACAAATTATTACATGTTATGCTTATTATTTTGTTTGCTCTTATAAATTAAGAATGTTTTAGAAATACAAATAGCATGACACAATGATTCATTTAGAAACACTGATATTGGATATGCTCACATAAAGTTGTAACTCCACGTGAGCAGAAAATGCCACATAGCATGTAAATCAAATTCCAGATGGCTATAGTATAGAAAATGATGAAACTTATGCTTAAGTTGTTATTGGCAGTTTTCAGATATTTAATGCTAATATTTGATGTATTATAAATATTTGTGAGTGTGAGATCACACATTTTGAATGTTTTGGAATTTTTAGTTAGTTAGAATTAAAAGTAATGGCTAATTCAACTTGAAAATTCTTGTCTTTTGCTGTTGGTATAAACCTGAGGAAACATATCTATGGTCAAAGCCTCATAATGTATGACATCTTTCTCCACCTTGTGGTTATTGGAAATATTGCTACTTTCTAATTTTGCACCACTTCCTAGACACACATAAGGGAGGCTGAACAGCTATGAAAAAATACGAATGACTGGATTCCGATCTTTGGATTTTTACTTTCAGATACTAGAAATAAAGAAAAGTATTTCACATGACAGAAAAATTCATATATATTATGTTATCAAAGTGTTAGGTCATCCAAAGCATTTCTAGATCTCTTTGCCAATGTTATTAGTGATTTCTTAGAAAAATATTATATAACTGTAGTATCGAGCAGCTAAATTAGACACATCTCTCTGTTAAACATGTTAAATTTCCTAGAATTTCATAGCATGCATAGGACTTGTGTGACACTCTAGGAAAGTCAAAAATGCGGGAGAATATTTTTCTGGTGAGAAATTGTTAACTCCCTTCTCCGCAGGACGAAGTATAGGACTTCAGTAACATTTCTCAAGTTATAAATCAAAAGTTTTATTCTCTATTTTAAAGACACACTCCAAACTTCTAAATACACACTATTTTCTTCTTTTCCCATAAACTCAAGAACTAGGGATATTACAGGGATCAAGACACACTGCTTTGATTTCACAGATTTAAGGTCTGTCCATTTTATATGACTGGGAGATTTTCACAGAAATGTCTAATTCATAGATTACCCCTGTCAATTCATGTCTGAGAAAGGGAAATGGTCTAATCAGATTATGAAACAATTTGAAATGACCAAACCTAAGCAAAAAAGTTGCTACCTGGTTGAATTAGACAAACCAAATTTTTCAGCTGTTCTAAGTACATTTCTTACTTCTGACATGTCTCGTTTCATGGAGCATTAAGAAGTGTGAAGAAAAGTTAAAGTTCCATTGATCTGAAAACACTAACTCAGAATGCAGTAGAATGCACCTGTCCCTCAAACAGTCACACTACTAACAAAAGTAGAGGTTCTTGATTTTCTTGCGGTACACATGTAAACTGCACCCTCTCCTGCTTGTACGCATGCTCCGCAGTGGTGTGCATCAAGCCAGCAGCTCCTTTAATGCACCCTTCACACAATACAGAAAACTGCATAGCACATGGTTAATACATAATCTGACTTTAACACAGACTTCCATTTAGTGCCCTTTCTTCCTGATGATTTTGTGATTTGATATTTCTATTATGTACTCATTCAAAAAAATAAAACATGGACAATTTATCTCTTAAAGGAAAACTAAGGTCATAGTATTTCTGTGCCCTGCTGCTTTCAAAGACTAAATAGCCATCATATTTACGTCTCAATTTTTTGTTTCAAACTTAACTTCCCAAAACACTTATGGCACTTAATGTTAACTGAAGCTAAGGATTCAAATATATTTAACACATATTTAAGACTTCAGGGTAAATGTTCATGAAACATGAGAAGGAAAAAATGCTATTTATATGCAGGGATGAACTGCTTTTGGGAAACAGATTTATACTTGAGTATATAGTTAGCCACTTTGAAATAAATGAGTTTATTTCTGTAGAATGTTCTTTGGATAAGAAAAACCTCCAAGAAAGCTGGAATACAGGAGGGGCCAATTAGAAAACATAGGAAACTCTACTGATAATATTTCTATTTCAAAAGCTGTAACATTGCTCAGCTACTAGATTTAGCATGTAATTTACAAGACTCGTGTTAGACTTGTGCCGTGATGACGCAATATGCACTTACCTTTTTCATTGCCATTTGCATAATTTGGAGGCTTGTTTTTGTCAATGCTGTTAAAGCTCTGACTTCTCCTATTTAGATTAGAGGCTCCCTGGACCTTGCTGCTGCCTGCAGCTGGCACCCTAGAGGGGCCTGGAAGCCTGAAATAGTATAAGAAAAATTACATCATTATTATGCATTACGGAAAGATAGAGAGTAGGAGGTTCTGAGCAGGATGAGTTAATGGAAAAAGCACAATATATGATGTTCTAAGGTCTATTTAGCAGAAAATGGTCGTTTAAGTGACAAATAGCTAAACATAAAGCTTACAAATCTTTGGAAAAATACTGTTTCACTTTCCAATAAATATGCCCCTGAAGTGTATTAATAATGTAGGACAATTATAAATAAAGTAACCTTTAACTTAAAAAGTCATACTTGCCACATCCCAATGAATGAAATTTTGATAAAAGTACCGTAACAATGACATGGTAAGCAAGGGAAATAACAACATAATTTTATTATGTTCTCAGGGTATTAATCACGTATCTGCAGCTGTTGTCAGGTTTTATTTTCTTTAATGTGTGAGACATTTGTTTTTATCTTGGATAGCTGTATCCTAAGTCAATTTGTATATTAATAACAAGAAGAAAAAAGTTACTGAGCAAATTGCAAACAGAAATGCTTATTGAATATCTAAGCTAGTTCGTCACTCTAATTATGACACAGTACAGAGACCAAAATCATGAGCTAATTCATATCCCACTGGTTGGCTTCACAAAAAAACTCCTTCATTCTCTTGACAAAAGTAAGCACCTGGACTTTATTTGGTTATCTTAAAACTGTAGCCAAGTGATCACAAGAGGATATGATAAGAAAAGATGCAGGTCTCAGAAGAAATTCTCTGTTAGCTGAATGACAGTCTAATAGACACCTACACAGACAGTAGCTTTAGCTACTTTTTGTGTATGAGTGACAGGCCATGAGGAAATATATGCAGACTACCTGGAAATTAGGATAAGTCTGATACAAGGTTATGATCTGCAGTTGTATTACTTGAACTAAATTAAATATCAGTTTGGATCATTCATTTTACCATTTAAGCAGCTTCCACATTAAATTTCAAGTACCAATTATTTCATGAGTTGTGCTTATACTATGCAGTTACTACATTTTATATTACTAACGTATATATACGATAAAATTAATCTACATAAATTAAAAATTAGTAATTAAGAATATTGGCATTTTAAGACATATTTGAAAATATGATATTAAAGAATGCCAACATCTTTGCTAGCCTATGCTGCCACCATGTGAATGTGACTGTGTACTACTCTGATAATTTCTATTTCAAAAGAAAAATGAAAACAATCCAGAACCTATAAATACACCACTGAATTTCTTGGTTGTCTTTTACAAAATTTTAAAAATATAACAATGTTTATATCTGTTATATTGGTGCCTAATATATAACAATTTCACAATCAGTTGTTATAATATTTAAATTTTAACTCACTTTTATAATACCACTTGATATATTATTTTATTAATTATTAGGAAATTAAACTCTTAAATTACATACTTTAAGCAATAGTAATGGATACTGCAAAATGGAGTAAACATCAGGAAAACACAAATACCAGCTTAAAAACAGAGGTGCTAATTTCTTGGTATAGTTAATAGCTTCAAAATGTTGTCTGTATTTTGGAGTTTAAATACCTATGGCTAATAAATAGTTCCTTCAGCTATTTTGCTAATTTGAGGCTGTGTCATGCATAAAATTAGAGTCTTTTCCAAATGATTCAGCATTTAATTTTTGCTCTAATGTATCTACAGGGTTTGTTAGCATTGCACAAGACCCTCAGCCACTAGGACTGCCGAGGAGCAGTGATTGCATGCTGCAAAAAGAACCCAATTAATTAACTTGGCCAAATATCCTAGTCAGAATAAATATGAGAACTATTCCTGTAGACACAGCCACAGACTTAGATAGTTCATTCCAAACTCACATGCATAAACAAATTTGGTCACAAACCTGCCTGGATTGTAATGAAACTTGTTTCTAGAAAAATAACTAAAACACATTCAAAACTTTATCGTGACCCATGAAGCCAAGTATCTTTAGTTCTCAGAAGAATAAATAAAAGCAAATCAAAAAATTCATTTCTTCTTCTCATTACCCTATTATGACAGGCAGCCAGAGCTCCAGATCATTCATAAGTAATAAAAAGAGAAATGAGAAGGAAGCCCCCCCCCCAAAAAAAAGAAGAGAGATGTTTTATGAAATCAAAGTACTTAAAGTATATTTTACATACATAAATCTTAGCAGCGATAATAAAAAAAATGTACTGTAACATGACAGGTCACTGTTCTTTGCACATTATAATTTGTATCTACCTTTAATTAAATACCTTTTTAGTTTGTCTTTCCAGAATCATTTTAATTACAATGAAATAAACATAACTTAGAAAAAAACCAAGGCAGGAGGAAAAGCACATACCTCATCAAGGCATCATGAGCAGTCCTCCGGGTCAAACATTACATGATATGATACATTTGAGCAGGGACTGGTAAAGCACACTGACAAGCTTCCCCAGTGAGGGAGATGGCACACAGAATCATATAATAATCACCGGGCAAAACACATGTGCTGTGGCTTCACTCAGCTGTACCATCATGCCTTTCATAACTTAATGTTTTAAAAAAATCAAACATTTTCAACACACTTTTATGTACCAGTAATTTTCCAGACGGTACATAATGCGCTGGCATTTATTATAATAGATTGTCTTTAAAATACATGTATCATAAGAAGCAAAAATTTAAACTATTATAGATAAAGAACAGAACAGACTGATTCGGCGCTAACTTTCCCAGAAAAATCTGTGAATGTTTCCCAATTCTGCTTCAAAAAGTGCAATAATTAATGCATGCCCATCTCAAAAAGCAATGGCAGTCTTGTTTTGTAACTTCCAGATTTCTGTGATCTGGCAAGAATGAAGCCTTCAAAGAAACTGTTTCCTTGACTTTCTCAGCCTAGAACCTAGACTTCAGTCCAGTCATAGCAATATGAATAAGGCAACTAAAGTAGAAGCTGAAACTCATTTAATGATCTAACACAGACATGCTCATCCCCAAGAACGTGTATGGAAATCTGCTAGGAAGATTCAGTCCTCTAGATTTTTCATCCAGAAGTATATAATTTTTGAAAAAAAATCAGAATGATAGGACAAAATATCACTGGGCATTTACTTTATTATCACTAACAAGCAATGAATTAGAGATATTAACTGACCTAGTAGGCTTTTTCTGACTGGTTGCAATTCCACTGTGATTAGACTGAGTTGCATATCTGGCTGCCAGACTGTATGAGGAGAAACAGAGAAATTGAATTAAAGAGATTCTTTGAACATGGAAAGAAGGTACAAACTTACAAGAAAACTATGTGTTAATGAAATGCAATTGAAACATGTATAAAGAATAAATTAATTAGAAAATTATGATAATGCAACATATATACCACGACCTTTGATTATGAACACACTATGCAATAATGCAGGGCACCCCTTGTAATAGAGTATGTCATCACTAACTTCAAAATTATGGCTGTGTGACATTATTGATATTATTTCAAGTAGTGTTATTTCATTTTATAAAAAGCCAACCTTTGAAAATGATTATGAAAACTCTGGGAAAGCTAAGTTTGACTTACACGACAGAAAGATCTTTCTCTAAAAAGTTAAAATTTTAAAAAGAATATGATATGAAAGTTATTATTTTCTTTCATAAACTCATTTTCTGTTTTAACCTAAATATTATTTTGGAAACAAAGTGATTAACCTTGGAAACAAAGCAATTAAACTCTCTGTTTTCTGTGTGATCACTTCCTGTTGATGTTGAGGCCGAGATAGGATGTTTTAAGGAAGTGGCCAATGCATTTTTCTAAAGAAAGATTTATGCAAAAATTGAGATTAAAGTAGAGTTAAAGTCTTCAAAAACTAACTGGATGACTGTTAATGACAGGTTCCTGGCAATCCTGAATTACAATTCTTAGTGATTTTTTTAAATCGAAATCTTTGTTCAGAAACACAAAAGAAAGCACTTAAATTAAGTTTTGGAAAGCAGAGAACACTTTAAAAACAAAATGAAAATTTGCATTTTAAGTTGAACTTATTTCTGAATTATGTAAGCCTTTGGAAATTAATGTTTTAAAGGCTATGGTGAGACCAACAGCCCTAAAACATGGGCACATACCCTGTGATGGCCATGGCTTGATGCCTGGGTGGAAAATCACTTTCCAGGTGAATCATGATGCCTCTGCATGAACCTCATTGTTGTGAATGCAGTTTCCAAGGCCTCCAAGGAAACAAGAACAATGTGGGGGTGTTGGGCTCACGGTGGAAGGGGCACTTGGAGCCCCACTGCCGCGGATCCAGTTCTGCTGCCAAGCAGTGGGTATTTTAGGCCAGGGAAGGATTTCTGAGGATGATGACATGTCTCCTAAGTTAGTACTTACTCCACTGAGTCAGTCTGTGGTGGGAGCTTGCAGGGCCTTAACACTGCCTGCTAGAGAAGAATAAATCCTCATATCCAGGGAGCTTCTCGGAGCACTTATTTTTCACATTTGATATGTGATATATTATTATTTGCGTATAGTGCCTTCTGTATTCTAAGTACAGAGACAACTGGCCACAACTGCTAAACTACCTCAGTGGCAATAATATCGGAATAATTTAAAAAGAAAAATCAAAGCATTTCCGTATGATATTAATTTAAAGTTTAAATTTAAATATAAAAGCACTCAAATTGAAGAAAAATCTTTCATGAACTTCTCAGTCTACTTTGTTAATCCAAGAGAAGAGAATGGTGTAAAGGTTCACCGTTATGTCTCCCTAAACTGAACACAAATATTAGGAGATAGGACAATAAAACAAGTGAATTGAAGCTACGTCACTGGTTTTTCATCCATGATTTTAAAGAAATGCCATATTTTTACTACAGAAGTAGAAAAACAACAACAAAATCTAGAGCTGACTCAGCCAAAATCCATTTGTTTTTATAGCCCAACTGTGTTTTCTATTCACTATGAGAGAGAGAGCTCTACTTGATGAGTATTGTTTGCACCATACCACACACTTCCCTCCTTTGGGACGAGGCTTCTGCCCCACTTCTCTTACCCTTGTGAGACTGTTATGTTAAGAACACAAGATTTTTATCCAATTCTCACCTTGGTCTAACATCTTTGCATTTGACCATATTCTTCCCTCTGATGAATCCCTCTCGTTTACAGATTGTCATACTAAGAAGCTCACCTGATTTGCCCACCATCCTTCATGTCAGTTTTCTCTTTCCTTCACTGGGCCCTCTTCCTTTATCCATCTTTTAAAGGCATGCTTTTTCATATGTCCTATTTCCTCAAACATTTGTATGCATTCTTTCACTTAGCAATTCCTTTCTTACTTACAACTTCAAGTAAAATCTATTAGAAACTAGAATTAATGTGTGCATAATACCCCCAGCTATCACTAGCCACTGAGTAGATATCCCATTCCCATGATACTCAAAATCATCACGTTACACTCACCACTTTCCTTCTTTTATCCCCAAAGCCCTAATCAGGCCCTTCTTTAATTTCTTGATTTCCAGTCACAGGATCATCATTTTCTTTAGTCCCAGGGCTTGAAACCTCAATAGCTGACTTTTCCCTTTTCCTTTCAATTATTGCAGATGTGCAATCAATACCCTGTCTCTCTGAATCAGCCTCTACAAATCCGTTTGCATCCATGTTCTCCTTCAATTTCTGTGCTATTCACACTAACTCAGCCCCTACCACTTCTCACAATACCTCAAGCTCCCCTTTTTTAAATTTATTTATTTTTATATGGCTCTGCCTCCCTAAGCAACAAAAAAAGATTTCTCCCCCACAATGCTTGTAATAGCACTTTCCAAACTTGGGATTTACAGACTAGTAACAAAGCAGGTGAGTCGGTACAGCTAGGACAATATTAGTGAATCAGACACAGGGACATGCAGACACAGCCCCAAGGCAATTGGAGGTAGATAAATTGAGCCAGAACACCAGTGAACTAAGCATTTTCAGACATTTGCATTGAAGACTGCATATTTTTTTCCCTGAAATGTTGTCACTTGAGACTCCTAGCTAATGGCAAAAAATATCAGAAACAAAAGCAGAAAAATAATAAATACTTTGAAACTCACTGTGGGTTCTACTAAAGGAACCCTGCTCCTGCGTCTGCTCATCTATCTGAGAGTGGATATCAAAGGAATGTTGTTTATTGCCCCTAACACGAAAAAGAAGAGGAGGAAACTAGAGGCAATCAGTTAAAATTAAAGGATAAAACTCAATTGGTGTTCAGTACATAGAAAATCCAAACTGCCAGAACTTTCTAATTGAGCTTTAGTGCAAATCCTCAATGTGGAAGCATAGTATCCATTACTTATAAGGAAAGAAAGCTTCTCAAAGTAAAGAGATCCTGAACTGTGATTTCCCATGTTTACTAACTACCAGAGCCTCACTACTCAGAGTGCTCCCCAAAGACCACAAAAACTGGCATCGCCTGGGGCTTGGCAGAAATACTGAATCTCAGGTCTCATACCAGATCTGCTGCAACAGAATTTGCATTTTAACAGGATTCCTACACGTAATAAAATTGAAGAACCTGTACTGCACAGAATATCCACAGATGTCCTACCCTGGAGGGTAAAAAAACTTTCGTTTCCAAAGTCAAACAGCATCATTTAAGCATTTCAAGACAGGCCTCGTCTTCTGCCTGCTGCTGCTTTAGACACAACTGACACCCTTTCCTAGACTCACTCACTTAGCTTTCTGAACACAACAGCACTCCCTTCATCTACTCCTATTTCCCAAATACAAGTCCACTCACTGTCCCCACCCTTAACTTTCATACTACGTCCACGAGTGTTTTCCACATTAGGATTCCAGGCACCAGCTAATTTATTCCTCATTTTTATGTAAACAAATCTACATTGCATATTCAAATCTCAGTTCTAAATGCACAGCCTCTTTTCTAAACATCCCCTTGGTATCTTAGATATTCCAACCTGAATTAATCAACTAGATTTATCCCAGATATTAAAAAAAAATGTTCAGAACTTAATTCATTCTCCTTTCAAACCACCTTCCCTCTAACTTTGCTACTTAAGTTTAGCGTCACCAGCATCTTCTCCATCCGACAATATGGAGTTGTCTTGATCATTGCCGGTTCCCTTTGTACCTCCATGTCATCTCTCTCATGGGCTCTAATGACACCTCTTCACTAGTCTCTTGGTTATCAGCCCATTTTTATTTCCAGGCAAATCAAATCATTCTTATCACAGTCAACAGAATCGACTTTCCCAAGTTAGAATGGATGTCAGCCTCTTTGAAACTGCTGTTGACCCCGCGCCGCATGTCAAGCCCAGGCTCTGCGATGCGGCCCACGGGGGCTCCGGGGCATCTGCTCAGGCCCCTCTGCGGCCCGTCCCCTCTGCATGCCCGCCGCACACTCCGCCGCCGCCGCACATCCGTCTGATAATAATTTTATATATAATAATTCTGCCTACAGAATATCATCTCTTCCAGTCTAAAATAAACCTACTTCCAATACACAGTCTTCAGCATTCATATTGATAATATTAAATAATTTCATTCAATGGGTTGCTTTATGTAGGAATCTGGAATTGGCAATAGAACAATTTTAAAGGATAAAATACTTTTAGTACCTATGCAGCACTCCTGAAAAATCTTCCAAAGAAACACTTTTAAATTTTAATTTAAGATGATAAAATTAAGTCATTTAAAAATGTTAGGGTTAGCAAATATAGTGCATTATTTTTAACTCGCCATTCCTGGGCCCAGGGCACACACGACCAACCAATCACAGAACTTTTCCTGCTGAGCCCTGTGGTAGCCTCAAAATCCTTGGCCAGGATTCAAACAACCCTTATTAATCAAAAAAAATTAGAATGAGAATAAAAACCTTCTTTGCATCTCTTCTTTATGCTCTCATCAAAAATATTAAGAAGCTTTGGTTCAGTACAAGATTTTGTAACAGATTCTTTTTCTGTTGTAGTTGTTCTAGCACTGGACTTCCATGCAGGAGAAAAGGTTATATGAGTTACTCTTTAGTTTTCATCCTCAGAAACCAAATTGAACCCAGACATAAAGTGCATGTGCACCGTTAAAAATTCACCAAAAACTTAATATCTGAGCCTCACATACTCTATCATTCTTTTTCATTTGTTATTATCAAGTTTCTCCCAAAAAACTCTCATTTGAGAAAGTTGATATGTTAATTATCTCAACTTGTCTTTAATTACTATAATAATTTAAGATACTTTTCC